ATCGATTACAAGTCCCTTGAAAGTACGCCATACCCCAGTGGAATTTCTGTAATTCTTCTCAATTATCTAGAAAGTCAACAGCCTAACTACAACAGTAAGAAACAATTAACCCAGATATGTACCGCCGTTTATATCATCTGCGCCTAAACCAATCTCACCATAGAGTAATGCATTGGATGTTCGTAATGGTTTGATCCGCTTATAAATAATAACCCCTTTGTTACTTTTCGAGTTTTAAATAACAACTGTGATGGTATTAACCGATTTTTGTGCATCAATTATCCGATTGAATTCTATTTAAATTAACCACATTCTATCTCCCGAATTTTTTTGTTACGGTCGTATAGAAAGTTTCAGCCGAAGCGCAAAGTTCCTTATTTAATCGGTCTTTGTAGAAATCATTTTTATCATATATATAGGCCTACATGTATGAGAAATTAAGTGGTCAATGATCATGTGATTTTCCTTTTGCTTTCTAGGGGTATCCGGTGTATATAATTTCCCTGTTCTACAAGTATCCTTTTCAGACTAGTGAATCGGTAACACAATCCTTTTCTGTCAATGTTCAAAAAATAAAATTCTGATTCCTCATGAAGCAATCTTGATGTAAATTTATTTCCTTTTCTCATTCAGACAATGTGGAGTTTCCTAGTTATAGCTGTAGTCCTGAATCGATTTGCTATCTGCAATTTACGTAATTAGCAGATGTTTCATTATCTAGATGTCACCATATCCAATAAATGAAAAAAATGAAAAAAATGAAAAAATTAGCACTTTACTTACGAAGAATGGGATTTCGTTTTCCAATATAGTTTGTTTACTGGGAAAACATATTAAAAACTTCGCGCATACAGTAATATATCGCACCCAGGATATAAACCACTACTAATACCTATTTTCTCCGCAGAAATATTGAATTTAAAAATTCCATGTTGTTTTGATGATATCATCAAGCTAACCCTTTGCTGACCCGTTTCACGGTCATTATCGACAATGAACCGAAACTAGGTCATCAGTATCTGGTAAACAAGTCGTGGTATTGTAAAATACTTACAATGAATTTGTAAGATTTATGGATTTAGATCATTCCATCGTGCAATTAATAATATTTTATAAGATTCTGATCTTTCATGTCTTTAGGCAGATCTGCTTACTAAACTTGACTGATCAAGAATAGAGACCGTTGAGAAACATCACTGGCAGTCTGATAGTGATAAAAAAACAAGAATCCATTCTTAGTCTAATTAGGGTCCACGAAGAACAATAAAATAATGTATATAATTGAAAATATAAATTATCTAATTATTATGAATAAATTCATCTCCACAACCAGAAATTGTACGATATTTGGTTTATAAATTATCTTAATGAAGATTGTTACCCCCCCTTTTTTCATACACTAGGGCTATCTATAGGTTCTGTCTAGCAGAGGGTCGTACGATATAAATGTTGAAATTAGACATTAAATGTTTAGTTGAAAAGATAAAACGAAAATAGATGATTCTGGATTCCCCGTTGTTACATTAATAACTTGATTTCACTGTAGGGCTTAAAAATTTTTAAATCCTGTTTTCGTCTTGATGATATGAAATATATTCAATGACTTACCACGGTATGAAAGCAACAACTTCCAGATTTATAAACTAACATTTTCTTCACAAAATGAATTCAATTTCAAATCAATTTTCATATTTAGTCCTATACAAATTCTAGAAAACCACGCGTACCTATCAATCGGAAATTCACTTTACAACTAATATAATATTTGCGCATGCTCTCTACGGTATGTGACTCACAGCTGTAAAAGTAACCTTCGCATTGACGTTATCACAAAGGGAATACACAACTGGGGTTTCAATTGGGGAAATTCTTCCATAATGTCGAAAAACTAAACCATTTATTTTTAAAATGTCATTTTTACGGTAAAATTGATTTAAAGACATTTCAAAAATTATTTCTATGTTTTCTTTATACATTAATTATTTTCCATATATGGTGTGTATTATTTGAACTCTACATCGTTTAATTTATTGTCAATTCATTTTCGTAATCACAAAATTATGGGAATAATTTATTCGCACCAATTTATTAAGAAAAAAAAACTATTAATAACTTTCTAATACTTAAAAAAAATTATTTTAACTTCAAAAATGTTTCATAAATGTGTTTGTTCCGTTGATTGATAGGTTGATTTTGTTAGTTATAATAGACTTCACTTTTTTGAATTTGTCTTGGAGTTCGGTATTTAATTTAGTTGTACTTTTTTTCTCCATTTAAAGTAAAAAGCATTCTTTGTCGAGATACACTGGTCATTGGATCCGTTTTTATCTAGAGCTAAATTACAAGTCAACTGTATGTCTGACCCTGACCCGCAAGCTTATCTAACTTTTTGGATAAACAACTTCTAAAAGGCTGGGGCGCCGTGGAGGTACTTGGTCAGGTACTTCACCAAAAGCTATATTAAATATTCAAATCCTTCAAGGTAATTTATTACTATTAAGTTGGAATTTATCGCAGAAATCTTGCTAAAAGTAGTTAAACGGCAGTAATGAGCTAACTGCTTTCGCACATATAACACACGGACAGTTTTATGAACTACAGTTTTCGCGAAGTGCACGGCGTGGTTTTATTGCTTCCTTCCACGAGAAAGGTTGAATTCGGAAAATCAGTATTCCAGTTTCATTCTAAACCTGATCCATACGGAAGCAGACATTTTTGCCGAATCTTCCTTAGGAATACTAATCAAATACAAAATTCAAATTCAAATATTTTATTTTATAAATTATAATGTATATAAATATGGCAATCATACAACATCTCCTTATTTTTATATATGAAAATGCGTGATCCAAGTGTAGATCATGTGCAAAAAAATAATTACTGCCTTTTCCATAGGCAAACACACAAAGGAACTTTACTTTTGCTTTTGAAATGAGAAAAGCAGGGATTTTACACATTGAGGGCCCAGTTAGCAATCCCAAAGGGTAACATCTGAAGACATCACTCACTGCCTTCATCGAAACTAACATTCCAAACATAAAACCGTATCGTAAAATTAATTCCACAAGAAACCGTAACGTTTCGTAAGAAAAAAAATTCCACAAACGCAGCGTCAATCTTCTTTATACAATAGTAAACATTTGCATTGTTCTTCGACTGCATTTTCTTTTGATGATTAATTGCTAAGATTGACAGCAATGGAAAGTTACGAAAAATCAATAAAACAAATACTCTAATCATGTCCAATTTCAAATATTGTCAAGGAAACCCAATTTTCTGCTGACCAATATCTTCCTTCATTAATGCGTAGGAAAACTGCACTGGTCTCCAGAGGTCGAAGAGGTGTGTTGTGCTTAACATAATTACAACATGGACAGGTTTCTGGTTTTCAGGTTAAAAATCCTCGTGGTGAGAATAATCCTTAGAAAAAGGGACTACAATTACATGCATGTGAAGGGACTACTACCCTTGTGAGAAGGACCATATTCAAGTGTAAAATTGGAATTTTAATTGATAACTTTTCAAATGGAAAAGCGCAAATATTTAGGCCTATACAAATTGCTTCCACTATTTTCTAATAGAACAATTTATTTATATCTACGGGAGCGGGGCTAGGTGGATGGTGCTTAATTGTCTGAAATGGTAAAATATCCGGCGATCGTAGCGTAGCGGCAAAATCATTTTTGATGATTTATAGCAACACAAAAAAAGGGTTTTTTTTCTCCAATCGAGGTGAGAGGGATATATACGTCACAAATCCCACCATAATCCACCACTGCTCAACTTATGAAGCCTATATATACGTCGGTGCAATTTCAAATGTCTTTAAAATTTCATGGGAGAGCCCATATAATGGTAAATACCAATCTTCTTCAATATAATATCCTTTGGAAAAAAATGAAGCAAATATACTACACAGAGATGTGGGACTGAGAGGAAAATCCTATAATCGCCTACAAAATTTACGAAATTGTTATTTAATCTCGTTTCCAATTTTCTTCATTTCCAGATATTAAAAAAAACATGCACAAAGTAAGTTCATCCCAAATTAAAGTAAACTATATTTTTCGTTAAATTAAAATATTCTGCATTTATCCCATCTAAAATACGGTATACGTAGATACAATTTTCTTTCTGAAAACTATACTGCAGGTTCAGACGAATCACAATCAAAATATTTGGTCCGTATCATCAAATAACCAGTCTGTACCTAAAACGTTGTCACCTTCTAGTCCAAGTTTCTGCCTGGTTATCCATTTTTTTTTTAATTTTCACTTGCCAGAACCTTTAATTGCTAGCCCATACTGCTCTACTGCATAGCAGTATCGAGAAAAAGCTTTATGCTTGTCCAAGACTTGTTTGTTTTTATCTATTTAACAATAAGTATATCTAAGACTTGCACATTGAAAACACACTCAAAAGATATACATAGATGAAACTAATACGATTATTTCAGAATTGTGCGATATTGAATAAGTGGAGTGCTCATGTCATGAATATATAAAATGAACATGTTGGAAAATTCCAAATTTATTCGAACAAATAGGAAATTCCGATTTGATAGATATATTATATTTTGTCAGTTGTTGATTAAGACAAAGAAATCAGTTGACAATCAGATATTTCGTATTTTTATTAATCATCTTTGCAATATATCTAGTACACATTTTGAAATTACCCGTCACAGATGGGGCCTCATCCGCATTAGCGCCTACGGTGTTGAAATAAAGTACTTATTTTTGCCACAATTACAAAGTAACAATTAAATACAAATATCTATGTACATAATTACAACATTTATCAACACGTTTGCATGAAAATATTACATAGACTTTAAATAAATAAAGCAGATTTTAACAAAGAGAAAGACTCTCTATGCCGGTATCGATCTGCGGTTTACAAATCAGCTGATGTCAGTGGATCCACATGAAACAAAGAAATCACGAAAAATATCAATGTTACAATCTTTGAAGACACAGAAATAATTTAACAACACATACCTTGATGTTTAGGGTTCTCTAACAATTATAATTTCCTTAAAATTTACATAATAGTCCATGAAAAACTAACATTTCGTTTATAAATTCTCCCGTCTCTTAACTACACACACCGCTAAACCGAACAGCTGATCGCGAGGTCACCTTGCATACAAAAAGAGGAGTTAGCTGAAACGAGCAATGTGATTGGCTGCCAGAATATGATGTCATAAAAATGAAATATATTAGCCTATTTATATCGCACAGCTCAATATCGAAGAAAAAAGAATAAAATTCTGCAAAAATCAGATATTTGTCAAATGCACAAAACTTCTAAATTCGACATTTGTTAATATTTAAAACAATGCACTGAAGTGTTTTTACTTTGCAAATTTTTCTTTGAATGCTTTTTATAAGCGGTATTTAGCAAGCATACACACAACCCATCCATTGGAAAAAAACCCTGACCTTTAACTCAACCCAGATTTAAATCTAAAAATAAAACGTTCTGCTAGGGATTTTCTACAAATTTTAATCAACGGTGAATCGGCAAGTTAATAACTTACATCAGCACCGACTTTAATAATACAGTATGGCAAAATCAGCGGATTGACGACTTTCTATAAAAAGATGGAGAATAAACAAGATGTGACTAGCCCTTATGAATGATTATTAACACCACGATTTATTGACTAGTGGAGCGGACGATGCATCCGGGAGAGGAAAAAGTCCGTATTTCCCAAACTAATATTTTAAAACCGGTAGTTTCAATGACCGATGGTATCGTGCACTTGATTATTTTAGGTCTCTCATGGCATTTTTTTTCTTCATTTTCCAAAGTTGAAGAAGTCACCAATTCTAACAAATTGTTCAGGTTATAAATATAAATAAAGCACACACCGTTCATGTTCTTTTCCGGGCGGGGGATTGACTTTTTTGTTCTCAAGACAATCTTTTTTCAACTTAAACTTAAAAAGAAAATGATTTCAATACCATACATGCAGACACAATCTTTTATATGTGAATTTTTTGTATACTAATTTTCAATAGAATATATATATATATTTTTTTTTAAGTCCCGTCTTAAACTTTTTTTTCACATGCAATTTTGTTTTTTTTTTATAAAACTAACGCCCATGCATGCACCTCGTATTTAATTTTTAATTTAAATGTTTTCTTCTGTCCTGTTTGAACTTTCACGTAGGGAACAATCATTCGTCTGTGTATGTGTGTGTGTGTTTTTGTGTATGTGTGTGTGTTAAGGGTATTAGTTTTTCTCAATCTGATTAAAATTCAGATCTATCACCACTCGTTCACTCGTCGGAGTATATGAACATAATGAAATCGGAGATCTATATTTTAAATAGATTGAGTTTTTCGTATCGGTACAAACAATTTCTTCAACGTCGATAAAAAAACTTTTTCTCAAAAACATACATTAAGGATCAAGAATTATGATATGAACACATTTTTTTTCAATGGAAAAAAATAACTTCCCTCCTGAAACTATTTTTTTCTCAAGAATTTTAGAATCAAACAATAAAAAAAAAAAAACATGTCCCCAACAGATAAATGGTCGGTGCCTTAATTAACTGGATTCAAGCGGCAGCGGGGGTATACGTTTTGTGATTTCGGTCCAAAGTACTTTTGGTTGAGATATTGACCCCTTTTGGGGTTCTGAGTTTTGAGCGATTTTCTTACTAAAAATATATAGAGGGATTAATTGAGATATGAAACTGGTTCGAGAGGTACGATAACTGAATCTTTATGATGTAACTATTCGGTTGCTTGTGTTTATTGACAAGTTCGCTCACATATTTACTTATAATATGAAAGTTTGATGTAGTGGCGCTTCCAATGACATTAGAGTTAAGACTATCGTCTAAAGTTGCGCTATTTGAGTACTGGTATCATCGTCTTACTATGTCAAGAGTGTCTGGTTTGATCCTTGGTAGCACAATGGTAATTGTTGGGATGAAAGTAATAAAGCGGTGACTAATTATACAAGGGAATCTGACTTTTTTAAAGGAATTAAGTAAGAACTTGATGTTGATTATAGGAATAGGGATATGACTATTAATGACGAACTTTCATTCTGCTTCTCTTTCTATATAACTATACACTTGTTATATAGTTGTATTTTTAAATTTGAATTCGAAGGATAAGCCAATATCAACTAGGTACCGCTTAGAAAGATTTCTGAAGTAAACTTGCCCATTGAGTCAGGATATCTGTACCAAAGTACCCAATAAGATAAAAAAAATCTTGTCAAACGTCTTTTAGAAATACTAATGACACGATCGGATAAAGTGAAAAAGTTAATGATGGATGTGTAATGTCCAGTGTCAAATATCACATGCATATTAGGACGAGAACATGTTAATATGATATGAGACGAACAAGGAAAAAAAAAACCACAGGCAAACCCCCTCCTAACCCGGACAAATTAACTCCGAGCAGACCAGTTTATATGCTCTTACTCTTCAATGTCACACGCTTAGCGGAGAAGCTCCCCTCATAACCGGAAAAATTGATATAACTCCGAGCAGACCAGTCTATACGCCAGTGGCGGATCCAGGGGGGGTTCCGGGGGTTGGAACCCCCCCTTTTTTTGACGATCAATGCATTTGAATGGGGACATATAGTTGGAACCCCCCCCTTTATCCTGGGTAAGGACCCCCCCCCCCCCCCCCCCCCTTTGTAAATGGCTGGATCCGCCCCTGCTATACGCTCTTACGCACCCTACATCATATGTATCATATAATAACTTCTGTTATAAACATGTTTATGTAATGTTCAGTGACTATATAGTTATATTTTTAAATTTGAATTCGAGGGATAAGCCAATATCAACTACGTACCGCTTAGAAAGATTTCTGAAGTAAACTTGCCCATTGAGTCAGGATATCTGTACCAAAGTACCCAATAAAATAAAAAAAAATCTTGTCAAACGTCTTTTAGAAATACTAATGACACGATCGGATAAAGTGAAAAAGTTAATGATGGATGTGTAATGTCCAGTGTCAAATATTACATGCATATCAGGACGAGAACATGTTAATATGATATGAGACGAACAAGGAAAAAAAAAACCACAGGCAAACCCCCTCCTAACCCGGACAAATTGTTTTAACTCCGAGCACACCAGTTTATACACTCTTACTCCTCGATGTCGCACGCTTAGCGGAGAAGCCCCCCTCCTAACCCGGACAAATTGTTCTAACTCCCAGCAGACCAGTCTATACACTCTTACTCCTCAATGTCGCACGCTTAGCGGAGAAGCTCCCCTCCTAACCCGGACAAATTGTTTTAACTCCGAGCAGTCTAGTCTATACTCTCTTACTCCTCAATGTCGCACGCTTAGTGGAGAAGCTCCCCTCCTAACCCGGAAAAATTGTTATAACTCCGAGCAGTCTAGTCTATACTCTCTTACTCCTTAATGTCGCACGCTTAGTGGAGAAGCTCCCCTCCTAACCCGGGAAAATTGTTTTAACTCCGAGCAGTCTAGTCTATACTCTCTTACTCCTCAATGTCGCACGCTTAGTGGAGAAGCTCCCCTCCTAACCCGGACAAATTGTTTTAACTCCGTGCATTCTAGTTTATACTCTCTTACTCCTCAATGTCGCACGCTTAGTGGAGAAGCTCCTCTCCTAAACCGGACAAATTGTTTTAACTCCGAGCAGTCTAGTCTATACTCTCTTACTCCTCAATGTCGCACGCTTAGTGGAGAAGCTCCCCTCCTAACCCTGAAAAATTGTTATAACTCCGAGCAGTCTAGTCTATACTCTCTTACTTCTCAATGTCGCACGCTTAGCGGAGAAGCTCCCCTCATAACCGGAAAAATTGATATAACTCCGAGCAGATCAGTCTATACGCCAGAGGCGGATCCAGGGGGGGGGGGGGGGGGGGGGGGGGGGGGGGGTTCCGGGGGTTGGAACCCCCCCCTTTTTTTTGACGATCAATGCATTTGAATGGGGACATATAGTTGGAACCCCCCCCTTTATCCTGGGTAAGGAACCCCCCCCCCCCCCCCCCCCACCCCCTGTAAATGGCTGGATCCGCCCCTGCTATACGCTCTTACGCACCCTACATCATATGTATCATATAATAACTTCTGTTATAAACATGTTTATGTAATGTTCAGTGACTATATAGTTGTATTTTTAAATTTGAATTCGAAGGATAAGCCAATATCAACTACGTACCGCTTAGAAAGATTTCTGAAGTAAACTTGCCCATTGAGTCAGGATATCTGTACCAAAGTACCCAATAAAATAAAAAAAAATCTTGTCAAACGTCTTTTAGAAATACTAATGACACGATCGGATAAAGTGAAAATTTGTAATGTCCAGTGTCAAATATTACATGCATATCAGGACGAGAACATGCTAATATGATATGAGACGAACAAGGAAAAAAAAAAAACCACAGGCAAACCCCCTCCTAACCCGGACAAATTGTTTTAACTCCGAGCACACCAGTTTATACACTCTTACTCCTCGATGTCGCACGATTAGCGGAGAAGCCCCCCTCCTAACCCGGACAAATTGTTCTAACTCCCAGCAGACCAGTCTATACACTCTTACTCCTCAATGTCGCACGCTTAGTGGAGAAGCTCCCCTCCTAACCCGGACAAATTGTTTTAACTCCGAGCAGTCTAGTCTATACTCTCTTACTCCTCAATGTCGCACGCTTAGTGGAGAAGCTCCCCTCCTAACCCGGAAAAATTGTTATAACTCCGAGCAGTCTAGGCTATACTCTCTTACTCCTTAATGTCGCACGCTTAGTGGAGAAGCTCCCCTCCTAACCCGGGAAAATTGTTTTAACTCCGAGCAGTCTAGTCTATACTCTCTTACTCCTCAATGTCGCACGCTTATTGGAGAAGCTCCCCTCCTAACCCGGACAAATTGTTTTAACTCCGTGCATTCTAGTTTATACTCTCTTACTCCTCAATGTCGCACGCTTAGTGGAGAAGCTCCTCTCCTAACCCGGACAAATTGTTTTAACTCCGAGCAGTCTAGTCTATACTCTCTTACTCCTCAATGTCGCACGCTTAGTGGAGAAGCTCCCCTCCTAACCCTGAAAAATTGTTATAACTCCGAGCAGTCTATTCTATACTCTCTTACTTCTCAATGTCGCACGCTTAGCGGAGAAGCTCCCCTCCTAACCCTGAAAAATT